CATCAGACTCCTAAACAGCTGAGGAGTTTATTACCAGGAAATATGTGATGTACTGTTTACATTCTCAGTTTGCACATGGATAATTGCACAATGACTGCTGCACATGGAGCATAGTTATATTCTTGTATATATATATATATATTACTAAATTGCTGCATCTGCACTGCTTAAAGTGCCTTAGATTTAGTGTTACTCATTTATCTACTTCATTTTTTATTTTGCGATTCATGTGGACAGCAAAGTAAGAATTTCATTGTACAGGGAAACACGTTTCCTAACTGTGCATATGACAAAATAAACACTTTGAACTTTGTTTTTACTTAATGTCTAATAAATTCAAATTGATCTAACCCCTCATGATTCATTGACTTTAAACGAGTTGGTGAAATGTAAATTGATCTGAAACAAATATGAAAGTTTAAAAAAATGGGTGTTGTGTGTTTGAAATGTATAAAACATGTTACATGTATGTCCTTGTTTAGTCATAAGGAACAATTTATATCATTTTAATGGAAAAATGCTTCTTGTTAATACAGAAAATACATCATCACACAGGCACACTAATATTTAAAATATAACTATCATATCAAATCAATTTATATAGCACTTTAAAAACATCCAGCTGACCAAAGTAAAAGACTATATAATACAGTAAGTGGGCAAAAGTATGTGGAAAACTTAACAATCTGAAACTTTTGGTTAAAGTCCTCATTTTCCTCATTTCCAGAGAGCCTCTTCCTAAAAACAAGAGGTTATCTGGCTAATGAAGAACAAGCCCTAATGATGGCAAGCATCCACCTCCCAGCTCCAAACTTTAGCATGTCCCCCCCCCCATAAAACATTTCAAATTCTGTGTGGTTTACGTAGTCTTCGGCACATCACTTCCTCCTGTGGTGCGCAACCTCACAGGCATCCTTGGTAACACTCATCAGTAACTGCTGATTGGTTAAAGCAAAAAAAAAAAACAACAAAAAAAACAAAAAACAAAAAAAACAAAAAACAAAAACAAACTGGAACCAAGTAGAAAACAGTGGAGAAACACGGCCCCCAGTTTCTGGAGTCCAAATGAATGACTTCACAATCAGGACACGCTGTCACTCCATTTTATTAAAAAATTTCACACAGAAAAATTAAAAAAAAAAAAAAAAAAAAGTCACGTGTGTGTGGGGGTGTTGTTTCAAGGCACTATATATTATAGAGATATGTGAGAACGTGAACAGGTCAGAGGACAACTCCGTTTCAGCTACAGAGCTCAATGCGATCAATACTGTTAGAGTTGGGAAGAGGATCAGCTGCTGCCAGAAAGCTACAGTGTGCTTGTCAAAGCCAAAACTCATTATCAGCAGCAAGTTTCAGAGGTTTGAGAAGTCTCTGATCAAGAACCATTAAATCAATCATTTCATACAGGTACAGCAGCACAAGAAAAAAGTTAAAAACAAGCTCAGCAAATGCTGACAAACAGTAAAATTCAGTCAAATAACAGAAATAAGAAAAAACTGTTTGGGGGTGGGAGGGGCTGGTTCATGCAGGAGGGAAAATTAACTCTGCCTCAAGTGTCATCATTTGAACTGAAACCAATTCTTCTGTCTCTCTCAGGCTGTATTTAATCAAACATGACACAGGTCAAAGGTCAGCAGAGAAAAAAAAAACTGACTCTGGATCCAAATGTGTGTAACTTTGTGCTTCTCACCTGCTTTACCTGAGTGCTGCTGTTGGTGGACTGCCTCAGTGCTGTGTCTCATTTGTCCCATCAGTATTTTTAGATAATGTCAAACTGTTTAAATGAATCAATAAAAGAAGTAGCTCACGCAGAATGTGTGGGCTGAATAATTCTCACTTACTAGTGTCACACAGGGTGAGGCTAGTATTCATCCAACCAGAACAACAACAAAAAAAACGTTATAATGTACAATGTCTTTTTACTCATCTCAGACTTCCTACATTTCAGACTGACACAACATCTGGTCTGTGCTTTCTTACTGCTGCAGTCCTGAACTGAGGGTCTGTTGTATATGAATTGTTAATGTTCAGAGAAGCGAAGAGTCCATGGTGCACATAAACCTCGTGTATCGCACGAGACCTGCACCATCTCCACGGATGTTCAGAAAAATGCAGTCGATGAAAACACAGAGTACGATCTTAAAAGACACCTCATCTGATTACCTGAATATAATGTCTGAGACTCAGACCAACACTGATGTATACTTTCCTCTAATCCACACGGACGGCATTTTCTACACGTCTCACGCTGCAGACAGGACACCATTAAATAAAATGTGTCAATCCACTCTGAATTTGTGACAAGTCTCATGTAGAAACCTCTCTCCATCTTTGTTCCCCTGTACCGCGTTTAGTGAAGCCTAATCTCCACAGTCAGCTTTTTAAAATCACACAATTCCCGTTGTTTTCTGTTTCTACTGGTATGTGTTATGACTGATCAGGTTGCTTTGTTTCACTGTCACGATTTAATGAGCCATGGAAAATCAACAAAAATCAATAAATCCATAGGCTGCATAAACACGTGATTTCTTCCTGATGAGCCTACGTGAAACTTGTTTTCATCCAGTACACCTGTGCTGTCTGCCTGGTGAAGGCTTTTCTCTGCCGTTGTCCTGCTGACAGACAGCTGTTCTGATGACAAAGCCACAGAATGTGATGCTAACGTTTCGCTTTCAGTGTTTTCCCAGTAACAGTTACTGTGCCCCACACACACACACACACACACACACACACACACACACACACTGTAGTTTGTAAGATTTGGATTCAGCCTTAATGATGATGGAGCTACAGAGACAAACACTGCTGTTTGTTTACCTGCACAAGAGGTTAGACGGCTCAGATGTTAATTTTTCCGCATCACATGACACCAGCACCACAGAGAGACAGACACTTCTAAAACTCCTCAACCACTGTGTGTTTACGTTTGCAGCCATGCATGCTGCAGACACTGTGCTGCAGTTGCTCTGCGTTCAGGCTGCAGTTCCAACATGGTCAAGAGGAAGTCACTGAACTGAGCTGCTTGATCCAACGGCCACTCATACTTCTCCAACAAAACCTCAAAGAGACCCCATGGCTTCAGACTGGAGATGTGACGCAGCTCACCTGAGACACATATGGAGAGGTAAGTGAGCCAGACAGGCAACATGGGACAAATTCTCAGACTGCATAACAACTGTGTAAGAAAATTATCTGCTTCTCTGATAAAAGGTCAAAGCCTCAAGAGGCCCATGGACATAAAAATTGAAGGACAGAAGTCAACTGCAGCCAATCACAGAGCCAGGAGGCAGACCATCTCACCTCTCCTGTTGAAATATTCTCTGGAGTACCTGCCAGACAGTGCGAAGGGCAGAGGAATCGGACCGAGCAGCTCGATGATGTGAGCGATGTGATCTGAGTAAAAATACCCAATGAAGTACTCCAAAGTACTTTAAAATGCATATTAGTGTTATTTCATATAATTCAGGGCTTCAGATTCAGTTTAGTACTCAAACTCCAGCATTGTCTGCAGTAGTATTATTGCATGTAGTATAACCATATGTAGTATATACACATTCAATAGCATTATTACTGTTCGTGGTATAATTCTGTGTAGTACCTTCATCTCTGGTGTAATCTTCTCCTGAATGAGGTTCAAAAAGATAATCTCCTGTTGCCAACTCAAATGCCTGAAACATAATCAATAGATCTGTCAGGTTCCTCGTGATCACTGAACGTGAACACACAACTGAGGCTGAGAAGACGAGTTTAAACACACTCTGAAATCAAAAAGTAAGTCTCGGTGTGTGCACGGTGTGTGTGTGTATTAGAGGTGTAAAGGTACAGTATTTTTTTACCGGACCGTTCTGGCACAGGACTTCGGGGTCGGTGGAAGCATACCGAGTGCAGTCTTTACTAGTTGTTTACAGTGGTAGGAGGCTTGTTTTATGTGTGGAACATGCTTTTCAAATCCACATTCCCACACAAACATGTAGTGAATGTGAAGGAACGTCATGCTGTGTTGAATGTTGGTCCTTGGAATTGACTTCCCCCCCTTTACAGTGCCAATGTGTGGTGGACCAGAGCGCAACAAACACACAGCACGCTTGGCTTAGCCCAGCCTCTGGTCAGTGAACGCCATGGCCAATGCAAACAAGGGCCCAGAAGACCCTCCCTGATCAGTAAGGCCTCCTGTCTGAGAACACTGTGGCCTCCCAGTGACATACAGCCACAGACAAAGACAAGTGGATAAGATGTCTTATTTATTGTGCTTCTGTCCAATACTTAGTATGGTTGTCCAGTGGTGACAATATGTCAAACTTGCTAACTCTTATGAAATGGTACTACACGAAGGTGAAGATCACTGCTGTGAGGAAACAACAAGCAGAGTGCAAACACTGCTTCCTTCATCATTTAAACAGCCTTTCCCCGGTTATTGGAGCACTTGGTAGTAGTAGTTTGCAGCAGTGTTCCATTTTTTTATTCTATTTTATTTGTATACATTATATTTGTTTCATTTGAAAATTACAAAATGTTGATGTTTAAAAAATACACATCATATTAAATGACAAGCTATTTTATGTGTATTTTTTTCCTTACTGTAATAAAAATTAACCAAACTGTGATTTCTATGTACGTTACAGCCCTAGTGTATAGAAAGTGTGCGTTTCAGTGTGCATTAGTTGTAAATCAGTGCGTATACCTGTCTATTCAGTGTTTCCCGCACACAGACCTTACTTGGGCAGGGCATCCCCTTCTATTAATGACCACCCAAGTATATTTGGCCTATTTTTATCATCTTTTTTTTTTTTTAATCCGAGAGATCTATGCCATCCTCGCCATCCTCCACACACACACACACACACACACATATTGTGACGACCTACGTCGGTTATTGGGGAGGGGTCTGGTGGCAGCGACATGATGCGGGGGGGGCATCATGGGAGTTCAGTGATTAGTTCGGGGAACAGTTGTAAAATTGTTGTTAAAGTGTTTTAATGTGTTCTGATGTGTTACCTTGCTGTTGTGTGTTGATGTTGCCGACTTGTACTGATGTGTTGTCTGATGATGTTTGCCGGTTGGTTGCTGTGCTGTGTTCTGAACCGTAAGTTTGAATTGTATGTGTGAAACTGACCTGGGGAAAATGTCAGTAGTTCTGAGTTCTAAATAAATGACTGAGAAGTCAGTACTGCATTGTGGTCATTGTAAAGGACACGCCCGAGCGCTATCCAGAGTCGTGCGGTGTATGGGACCTGGACTAGTCGCTAAGTGCTACCCAGAGTCGTGCGGTGTATGGGACCTGGAGTAGTCACTAACTGAGATCGGCATGGGTGCTGGCGCCCTGCTAGCTAGTTTAGCTGCTCCAGTATAGCTAGTCTCTCTCCTCCACGCCAGGGGTCATTACAATATGTTTGAACACTTTCTTACTGTATTTGAACGTGTGCACATATACAAAACATTCATTGATTTTCTACCGCTTAGTCCCTGAACGGGGTCACGGGGGGAGGTTGGAGTCAATCCCAGCCGGCAATCGGGCGACGGTGGGGTACACCCTGGACAGGTCGCCAATCCATCGCAGGGCTAACACATAGACGAACAACCACACACACTCCTATGGGCAATTTAGAGACACCAATCAACCTAAGCTGCATGTCTTTGGACTGTGGGAGGAAGCCGGAGTACCCGGAGAGAACCCACGCAAGCACGGGGAGAACATGCAAACTCCACACAGAAAGGTCCCAGGTGGGGCCCGAACCCGGA